TGCTGTCTTTGTAGACTAGTAAAATACAGGCCATTATCTTCAAAAGCTCAGCCACAACCACTGCAGTAGAAGACAGATAACGAGGTCCCTCTTCTTTTAAAGTCCTAGAATAACGCATTGTTAGAACCAAGCTGGTAGTCTGAAAGACCAAAATTCCCAAGGATAGGTATTTCAAGTTGGCAGACATTGCTCTATCTTCATTTGCCTGGAAAATAAAAAAGGCAAATAAGAAAAATTATAACAAGTTAACATCAAAAATGAGTAAGAGACTAATAATGGTTCTAGATAAGACAGAGTTGAGAGCACATTCTATCATATTCTTCTTGATAATTGCTAAAAGTCTTAGACTCAGGACCAAAGGAACTATCAGAAGACTCTGAAAATTTAAGGAAATTAAGACAAACTGACTACAGAGTTCAGAAGTTGAGGGGTAACCCAGCAATGATTTCCCTGTTTTTATAGTTGGTTTTTTGTTTTATTTCATTTGTTTTTTGTACTTCTTATGTATTCTACAACCTGGAGCAATCAGCACATATATAACAAAAAGTCCTAAGAAACCCTCATTTTCTTGAATCAAAAGACTGGAAGGACAATGGCCCTAAATCCTCCTATCTATTCGGGTACTAGGATTCTATGGGATATAGCATTATTATTATGAGTCTATGGAATATCACATAATTATTATTACACTGAGTGCTGAAGGGGAACCTTCCTCCTTCCCACTGTGCCCTGTAGTTGCAGAGACTGTGGGGCAGAGCCCTGTAAATCATTCCTGACCTGTCCTAGGCAAATATCAGCAAACAGAAGGCAGGCATCCTTCCTCTTTCTTCAATGGCTGTCTGCTAATATGAAGATTTAAGTAGGAATCAGGCTTCCATAATGTAACACTCAAAATATCCATAAAACAATCCACTATTAGATAAAAAACCAGGGAAAATATCAAACTTAGGTGAGAAAAGACAACCAGATAACAACATAGAGATGACTCAGATGTTGGAATTATCAGACAAGGTTTTCAGAGAAGCTATTCTAAAAGTGCACCAACAAGCAGCAGTGAACACTCTTGAAATAATTTTAGACTCACATTTAAGTTACAAAAATAGCATAGGGAATTCTGTATTTTTTACTTACTTGCCCCTCAAAATAACAGTTATAACTAACGTCTCTACAGTTTAATGAAGCATTATGGACCCTAGTAATTTACTTTAAAACAAAGACAAAAATAAGTTAAAAAGTAAAAGGATAGAAAAATATACGCCATTAAAAAAAATTATTCATAATTATACCTTTCTTAGACAAAACAAACTGCATGACAAAAATTATTTCTATAATCAAAAGACATTTCATAATAAGCATCAATACATAAGGAAGATGCAAGAATTACAAATGTTGCCATTAGATGCTGTCAAGTTGGTTCTGACTCATAGCAACCCTATATAGGGTTTTGTGCTGGAAGAAGTACAGCCAGAGCACTCCTTGGAAGCCAGAATGGCCAAACTTCGTCTTTCATACTTCTGACATACTGTCAGGTGGGACCAATCCCTGGAGAAGGGTATCATGTTTGGTAAAGTGGAGGGTTGGAGAAAAAGACCCCCAATGAGATGGACTGGCACAGTGGCAGCATCAACTAGCTCAAATGTAGCAATGATTGTGAGGTTGGTCCAAGATCATGCAGTGTTTTGTTCTGTTGTGCATGGAGTCGATATGAGTCAGTATCAACTCAATGGCACCTAACAACAACATACGGTTATCAAAGAGCAGCTGGTGAGTTAGACCCACCAGGGTGCAGTTCAAACCAACCTTGAGGTCCAATGCTTACGCTACAGTGCCACACCATGATAGAAATGTAGATGTGCTTCATCACATAACTACAAGGTACAAATATTTAAATCTCACAGAACTAAAGGAAAAACAAATAAATCCCAAGTCATAATTAGAACATTTTAACTTACCTCTCTCATTAACTAACACATATTCTAACATATGATGTACCCATGCATATAATGTGCATAACATTTATAGGAAACTAACACAAGTGGGGTTTGTAAAAAAGTATAATGCACACATTATTTGTGTAAAAATACAGTACTAGAATAAGCAAAAAATCATTAAGGATACAGAATATCTAAACAATTATCTTTTAATTCCACATTTTCGTGAACTTTTTGAAAATCAGTTACTGTGGCAGACATAGACATGCTCCACACAAATATTCCTCCAAGGGTATATTTAATGCATGGTGAGTAAATGGCATTCCCACCCAAGGTTACATACTTTGCAAAGCAGCATGCATCTGGTGGCTGGATGAAATGAGAATATAAATTCTGGGCCATTTTGGCCAGATATCAGACAATATAATGGGCAATATTCACTCTAGCTGTTGCAGTTAGGTGCGAACAAGTTGGTACCGAGTCATAGTGACCCTATGTACAACAGAATGAAACACTGGGCCTGTACCAATGTTAAAGACCTTCATTGCTACTCAACTTAAACTTTGCCCAATGCTGCTGCTTCTGTTCCCATCTTTTCACAGGTAGCTCTAAAAAATATCTTATACTCAAATGAAAACTTTGTTTCAATATCTGCTACTGGAAAACCCAATCTCTGAAAGTGCTCTGGGACTTATAGAACATAACACCCAATAAAGACTGACTATATGCTGGGTGACAAAACAAGTGTTGATAGATTTCAAAATGAAATCTTACAGAGTAGGTTCTCTGTCCATTGTTAAATACAAAATATCATGAAAGGACCAAATGTCCCAAAAGTAAGTAAAAACCATGTGTTCCCTGATGACAAGATTTAAATTAGACAACAAAATGATGTCACAAATATTTAGAAATGAAATAATATACCTCGAAATAACACATGAATCAAAGAAAAGAAAGATACGAGGGAACGTAGAAAATATCTTATATTGAAAGATATTACATTAGTGGGATACATACATAAAGCATTGCTTAGAACAAAATTTATAACTTTAAATACTATATTTCTTAAGACAGAAGCTCTACCTGAACTCAACAATCCAAATTTTTGCTTAAGATATTAGAATAAGAGCAATTAAAAACCATAATACATAGAAGGAAAGAATTAGTAGAAGAAAAAAGAAAGACAATAGAGGTAATCAATGAAGCCAAAATAGTTCTTGGAAAATACTGATGAAAGTGATAAATGTCTAGATGAACTGATCAAAGAAATAAAAATTAAGATGATGAATATCAGGAATGAAAAATGAAATACCACAATGGAGTCACACGTTCTATAAGGAGGTCTGGTAGCGCGATGGTTACAAATCGGGCTCTGAACCACAAGATCAGCAGTTCGAAACTACCAGCTGTTCTGTGGGAGAAAGATGAGGTTTACTGCTCCCATAAACATTTGTAGCCTCAGAAGCCCTGTACAGGGTCGCTATGAGTAGGAACCGACTCCACGGCACATAACCACCATCACCATAGACATTCAAAGGATAGTAAGGACTATGATAGAAAAATTTATAGCCATAAATTTGGTAACTTAGATAAAACAGACAAGTACCTAGAAAGATACTGCTTTCCAACATGCATTCAAGAAAAAAAAAAAAAGACAATGTAGATATTACTAGATGTATTAAGGACATTGAATCTACAGTTAAATACCACCCAACAGAGAAAACAGAAGGTACAAAAGTGATTTCATTTGTCAGTTCTATCAGGCTTTATTTAATGATGAAATAACATCAATTATACACACCCTCTTTCAAAATATTGAAGAGGGAATACTTCTCAACCCATTTCATAAGACCAGCATTATCCCAATACCAGAAGTAGAAAATCACATTACAAGAAAACTACAGGTAAATATCTCTGGTCTATACTGTTTTTAAGTGACGCCGAGCTGGTTCAGGCACACAGTGAACCTATAGAGTATTTCTGAGGAGCAGATGGTGGGTTTGAACTGCTGACCTTGTGGTTCACAGTCCAGTGCTGATCCTACAGTGTCACACCAGGAGTCCAAGTAAATACTGGGGGTCTTCAAAAAAAGTGCATGAAAAAAGTGTATTACAGAAGGACTTCCAAGATGATGGACTATGCAGACATGCTAAACTGACCCTCTACCACAAAGATACAAGTGACAGCACAGCATTAGATAGATACGGTGGTCTGATGATGCAGATGCATACTGGTGGGTGGCAATAAGACAGCAAGTATGCCCATGCAGCCCAGTCATAACTGACCCTCCTGCAGTCCCACCCACTGGGCCAGAGCTACTACCAGTTCTTACAAGACGTGATCAATGATGGACAGCAGTCTATGTATGACAAACCCACCCTGACATGCACTACAAGAACAGCAGAGTATTGTATACACATTTCCATTCTCTAGTCACAACCACCAAGAGGCAGTTGGTGAACCATATGTTGCTGTTGTTAAGTGCCCATTGCTGCTGCCACTGGGCCAATTCATCTCATTGGGAAGCTTCCTCTCTTTTGGGCTGACTCAGCAGTATCTCAAGCATGATATCTTTCTCCACACACGTCTCTCCTGATAATATGTCTGAAGCATGACAGAGTCTGACCATCCTGACTTCTAAGGAGCATTCTGGCTGTACTTCTTCCAACACAAATTTGCTTTTTCTTTTGGCAGTCCATGGTACTTTTAATATTTCCTTCCAACACCATAACTCAAATGCATCAATTCTGCAGGCTTTATTCACTGTTCAACTTTCATCTGCATACCACAGCTTGGGTCAGGTTCAACTTAGTCCTCAAACTGACATATTTGCTCCTGAGCATTTTAAAGAAGTCTTCTAGAGCAGATTTGCCTAATGCAATGTCATTTGATTTCTAAACTGCTGCTTTCATGACTGTTGATGGTCGATCCAAGCAAAATGAGTTTTTCGCAACTTTGTTCTCTTCTCCATTTATATGGATGTTATTTATTGGTACAGTGGTGAATATTTTTGCTTTCTTTACTTTGAGGTGCAGTCCATACCACAGGCAAAAGTTTTTTATCTGTATCAATAAGTTCATTTTCAGCAAGCAAAGCTGTATCGTTTGCATATCTCAGGTTGTTAATTAGTCTTCCCCTGATCTTGATTCCACATTCTTCTTCATATAATCCAGCTTCTTGGATTATTTGCTCAGCATACAGATTGAATAAGTATGGTGAAAGAATACAACCCTGGTACATAGCTTTCCCAATATTAAACTATTCATAG